CGCCGGCTCAGCACGCGGCCGCCCTCCTGCCCTCCCCTGCGCGGCGGCTGTGCCAGTGTCTCGCGGGGCCCGGGCAGCGTCCCACACCTCGGCCACGCCAGGGTGCCGGCGGGCAGGGCCGTGGACGGAGCTCCGGCGGGTGAGTGAGCGAGTGACGGTGACGCTGGGCGGGGCGGCGATTCCTGCGCCGGAGAACAGAGGACCTTCCTCCAGGGGCCACGGCGCTTTCCCTTTTCCCTCGGCTTCCGGCGTTGTTCACTCTCGGAAGGCGAATTTGCAAAGAAAGCAGAACCTTGGCTCTGCCTCGACTGGCTGGAGGCACAGGACAGCCTGGCGCTTGCGCGGCCGTCACCCGTGAGCCGCGCTGCCCCAGGTCCAGCCTCTCTCCGGGACCTTAGTTGGCCGACCCGCGTCTCTGACAACCAGCGGCGCTGGGCGCGTCCCTAGACAGCCGCAAGGGAGCCCAACTCACGCTTGCCCCGCCGGCCAGGCCTTGGCGTGGGAGAGGCGTTGAGCAGCCGTCCTTGCAGGCGGTTGGCCAGCGCTGCCTCCCGCACCGACCGCGCCCGGGACGCCCCTCTGGGCCTCGCCCACGGCTCTTCCCAATGTGGGATGGGCTGTGGCCCCAGAGAGAAGCGACCCGAGAACCTTCGCGCTCCAAGACGCCCTGGCCCTCGGCGCCTGCTGGACTCTGGGGCTCAGGCGGCTCCACGCTGGGGCCCCCGACCGGCCCTCCCTGTGCCCACGTCACCTGCCTCGCGACCCCAGGTGACCCCTCTGTCCCTCTGCCTTCAGGGGATGATCGCGGAGCTGAGGGTGCGCGGGGACCCCCGGGTGAGCGCCCGGCACTGCCTGGACGAGGAGGATGATGACTCGGACGCGGTGAGTGAGGCGGGCTCGGCAGGGTCTCCGCGCCCCGGGGGGACTCGCCCCGCCCCACACGACAGGACAGGAAAGTCCAAAACAAGCACCTGTGGGCTCCGGGAACCTGGCGTGGCGTTTTCATGTACGTTTGTGACGCCGGAACTTTCCATTTACAAACAATGCAGAATATAGAATACATGTCAGAGACCAGCCTGCAGTAGCCCGCTGCTCAGCAGGATCACGACAGCAACATACGTGTGTGCGTCTGCCTCCGTGTGATGTGTCTGTGGTGTGTGTCTCTGTGTGACATGTATGTGTGGGATGTATGTGTCTGTGTGTGATGTATATGTGCGTGATGCGTGTCTGTGTGTCTGTGTGTCTTGTGGTATGTATGTGCGTGTGTGTGACGTGTCCGTGAGTGTATATGTGCGTGGTGCATGTCTCTGTGTCTCTGTGGTACGTGTGTGCATGTGCGTGGCATGTGTCTGTGAGTGTGTGGTGCGTGTCTCTGTGTGTGTCTGTGGTATGCACGGTGTGTGCATGGTATGTCTGAGTGTGTACGTGTGTGGTGTCCACGTGCACAATCACGTGGCACCTAAGGAAGAAGATCCAGCAGCTTCCAGAAGGCCCGAGGGACATGCGGAAAAATCCCATTGCCGGGGTGACTCCAGGTCAGGAGACGCCGCGAGAGGGCGTGCCCTTTCCACGCCGCAGTCGTCACGGCAGCCGTAGCCGAGACCCCCTGTGGCGGGCTGTGGCAGTCCCTGCAGACCCATTTCGCGTTTGCGTGGCTTTTCCATGTTTCGCCCGATGGATCTCTTGCCTTAGAAATCTAGGAGGTGGCCGAGTTTTCACCTAGTGGCTGTGGCAGCGCCTGCTCCCTGCTCTGCCTCCAGGGAGCACGGGCCGTGGGCTGCCCGGACGCGGGGTCAGGGGTGTGCAGCACACACACGTGCACACACATGTGCACACACACACCCCTCCTGCCTGCCTGAGCCCTGAGGTCATTAGTGGAAAAGCCAGATGATGCTTTTCCTCCAGGGTTTTGTTAAGCTGAAAACACTGAGTCAGAGAGAAGGGCCACTCCAGGGCCAGTTGAACACGCAGTGTGAGGACAGCAGGGACATCCATCCAGGCGCGGTGGCCGGGACGGGGTCGCCGGGACAGCTAGGTCCCCCAAGGCCGTGTGCTGCTGCTCAGAGGCTGTCAGCTCTGCTGGCGCCTCCTGGGCTGCAGCCTGGCCTGGCAGGGTCTGCACGGGGACAGGCGTGCAGTGAGCGTGTCCCAGGGCGGGTGAGGAGTATGTTCTCCATGGTTCCGTGACCACCACGTGGGTCTCTGAAGGGTCGTTCCAATTGATCTGGTGGACGTGGCGTGTTGGTGGCCAGGCTGGCGGCTGGCAGGGAGGCCGACGTGCCCTCCCTGTGGCACCTCGGTGCCCCCCAGCTTCTCCCTCCACGAACGCTGGAAGGGCCGCGCCAGCCGGGCGAGGTCAGAGTGGCCTCCTCTCCAGGCCCTGCCGGGGCCAGGGCTGTGCTCACCATCCTCCTCCTCATTCCCTTGACCCGCAGGCATCCGGGGACTTCGGCAGTGGCCTCGCGGAGAACCGGGAGCTGCCCAGGGAGGACACAGTGAGTAGCTGCGAAGGCCAAGCGCACCCTCCTGGGTCCCGCAACAGATCCGCATGGGGGCGTGCACACATGTGCACGTGTGTGTGTGATTTCCAAGGGCTCCCACTGTGTCCTGAAGGCGTGTTCCCAGCAGGAAACAGGGACGCTGGGAGGAGCAGGCGGCTGCGAGCCCGAGGCCGGCCGTGTCCCTGCGGCTCTCCGGCCAGAGGACGTTCTCTGAAGTGGCCTTGGCATCCCCCTGCCCGGCCCCCGCGTGTAGGGGATGCGCGGTTTGCAAACCTGACACAGGAAGGGCTGCGCAGGACGCACGGCGAGCCCGGGGCTCGGAGGCCACACTCGTGGCTTTTCTCCGGCTCCGGCCCCTGCGAAGCACAGGAGGGGCCGAGGGGAGGGGAGTCCCGGCCAGCGAGGGAGACGCGGCTCTTCTCAGACGGGACGAACCGCGTGGGCCTGCGCCCGGAAGGCGCGGGAGGGGGTCCTGTCCTCGCGGGGGCCTCGTCCCAGAGGATGGAGCTGCCCCGGGTGGACGCGGCCGCGACCCAGGAGCTGGGTCGTGTGGAGCCCACAGACGGGGCTGGGGCCGCAGCCGCCACCCCCACGGGCCACGCGGAGGAGCCCCCAGCACGCAGCTCTGCAGAGAGCCCTGGAACTTCTTCCCGTTTAAATGACGTTTTCTCTCATCTTTCTTAAAATCTACAAATGTTTTACTTTATAAACCAAATGAGCTTAGCCTGGTAGACGAGCAGCGCGAGCATCCACAGGACACCTGCGTTTGCTGGGTGACGGCTGTTCCCCTCCCTCCTCTCGCCAGGGCGCGGCCCCCAAACCCAGCCTCCCCCGGCCTCCCCCGGTAACGTCGCCGCCCTTGGCTGGAGGCGGCAGCACGGAAGGTTCCAGAACGGAAGAAACTGAAGACACCACAGCAGCTCCACTAGGAGGTAAACCTCTTCTGGGTGTGTGGTGTGTGTGCATGTACAGCATGTATGTTGCGTGTGTGCTACGTGTGGTGTGATGCGTGTGGTGCATGTATGTTGTGTGTGTGCTATGTGATGTGTGGTGCATGTATGTTGTGTGTGCTGTGTATGATGCGTGTGGTGCATGTATGTTGCGCGTGCTATGTGTGGTGTGATGTGTGTGGTGTGTGTGCTGTGTGGTGCGTGTATGTTGTGTGTGCTGTGTGGTGTGTATGTTGCATGTGGTGCATGCATGTTGCGTGTGCTATGTGTGGTGTGATGCCTGTGGTGCATGTGTTGCGTGTGTGCTATGTGTGGTGTGTGTGATGTGTGGTGCATGTATGTTGTGTGTGCTATGTGGTGTGTATGATGCATGTGGTGCATGTATGTTGCGTGTGTGCTATGTGGTGTGTGGTGCGTGTGCGTATGGCGTGGTTTCTGCGTGGGTGTAACCCAGGGTCGCCAGGGTTTTCTCCCGTGTTCCCGGAGTTGCATCACTGGGGTTCACGCTCAGGCGCGGCTGCCCTGAGCTAAGGTTGTGGACGTGACGCGCGGGTCACTTACCGAGGACTGTCCTCCGACTGAGGCGCCCTTGAGCCTCTGTCGAAACTCACTTGTCCAGCCGTGAGAGTCTGTTTCTGGGCTCCCACTGTCCCGGGAGTCCGTCTGTCCGTCTCGACGACAATGTCCCCATCCTGGCGGCTGCAGCCGCGTGAGAGTCTGACGTGGGCGACACCAGCCCGACCTGCCCGTCCCCGCCCTGGTGTCCGGGTCCTTGTGTTTCCGTGCGAGCACTGGGACCCCCTGTCAGTCTCCACAGAGAAGGGGAAGAGAGGCAGACGCCCGTGGGGGTCTGGAGGTCGCTGGCGGTGACGAGCGTGGCGGGCGCTACGCCTTCGGCCAGAGCCACCAGCCTCTCCTTTACGGAGGGCGTCTTCGGCTCTTTCTGCGCTGCCCTTGTGGCTTTAAATATCCCCAAGGCAGGAATTTTAGACTTGCCCTAAGTAACAGGTGACATAGCGCCCTCCAGCTCCCCACTGCGCCCCTGGGGGCGTGGCCGGGCTGCGCTCCGTGGGACCGCGGGTGCCTGGCGTCTGGCGCGAGGCTGCCCCTGGCTGGCTGGGGCGGGGACTTCCAGCCTGGGCGAAGCGGGGCCCATGCGGGCTCTGAGCAGCCCTTTCAAGCGGCTTCTGCGAGCCTGGCCGGCGGGTTCGCTCCTGATTTCAAACTCTGTCCCTGTTGCTGGCACTAGGCGATCACTGCCACTGTCTCCTGGCCCCAGGACGCCTGGTGGGAGCCTGAGCTGTGGCTGCGGCCGCAGGCCTGGGTCTCACAGTCCGGCTGGGCCCCGGGGCGGGGACAGCGCAGCCGAGAGCAGAGCCGGGCGCTGCTCGGGCCTGACGGCGGCCGCTCTGCCTCCCTCTCTTCCCAGCGCACACCCTGCCTGGCTCAGGTCCGGTTTCCACGAGGGACGAGAGCGTCTGGGGCCCTGCGGCCTCCCCGAAGGAGGTGAGGCCCCCAGCCCATGGCCCAGAACCCTGGGGGCCTCTTGTCCACTCCCTGGTGACTCCTAACGAAGCCCCTCGGGCCACACCTCTGCATGTCCGCCCTGTGTGTCTGCCCTCTGTGTCCGCCCTGCGTGTCCGCCCTGCGTGTCCATCCGAGTGTGTGCACGGGGTACAGAGCCCACGCCCAGGCACGCGGGGAGTGGATGCGGCTCTGCCCAACCCGTGCCGTGTTCTCTTCCTCCCAGGGAGGCCTGAAGGGGCAGAAGGGGGAGCCGGGAGCTCCGGGCCTGCCTGGCTCCATCGGTCCCCCCGGCCCCCCGTGCGTGATCGGCCCCCCGGGGCCCCCGTGCCCGTTCAGCCCCGAGAGTCCCCAGGGTCCCGTGGGCCCAGCGGCACAGAGCCCACACACGCAGCCTGTCTCTGGGCCGCGGGGACCCCCGGGGCTGCCGGGGAAGGATGGCGCCCCAGGAAGGGACGGCCGGCCGGTGAGTCCTCGCCGCCCGCGGTCTGGTCCCTGGTGGGGCTTGGGCAGGAGGGGGAGGGGTGCAGCTGACGTGAGGGTGGGCGGGGTCAGAGCAGAGCCGCCGCGGCCCCAGGACCCTGGAGGCTCCAGGCCCGGCCATCGCTTGCGCTTGGCTCTGGAAGGTGGTGGGATGTGGGAGGCTGCGCAGCCCGGACGTGGCCCCTCAGGAGAGAGGCGTCTCCACCGTGCCCGGGGCTTTGCGTGCAGCGCCTCCCCGTGTGCGACGCCTGCGCTGATGGTTTCTCTCGCACGTTGCAGGGCGACGCCGGTGAAGATGGAAAACCCGTAAGTTTCTTTTCTCTCTGAGCCGGTGTTACCCGCGATGCTCCCGTGAGACCTCGACGCCTTTTGCCTTTAAACTAACGGACCGAAACCCCTTTGAAAAGGCCGTTAATTCCGTTAAGAAGCCTCAGTCTGAAGGCGCGTGGAGACACTTACGCTGCCACCAGGAAAGGAGGAAAGGGGGGGAAAGGCGCTTCCGACCCCCGGGGCGGGGGTGCGCGACAGAAGCAGGGAGTCTGCGGGTGCCGGGTCGTTCGCAGAGGGGGACCCGGCCGGGCCAGGGCAGAGCCGTCGCTGGCACAGCAAACGCGAGAGGTTCCGTCTTAGAAGCTCAATTTAGGTGTTTAAAAGTCAACACACACTATTTCCAGGAAACACCACAAAATAACACTGATTGCAAATAAGGGTCAGGAAACGGTCCTGCGATGGCGGCAGAAAGCGGGTCACGTGATTGACCAGCGTGGCAGGTCCAGTCAGAGACAGCCCAGAGGGACGAGAAGGGCGCTGGCGGTAATGGAAGCATCACGAGTGACCGTCTTGCACCTGACAGCTGCAGGCAAGACCGTGGCGAGGACCACGGCGAGCTGGCCAGGGCATGGGCTGGCCTGTGTGGACAGCATGTGTGCGTGTGTGTGTGTGTGTGTGCGTGTGGTATAGGGTCCAAACGGCCCAGGCAGCAAGCTTGCTCTGATAAACTGTGTTGGGGTTTCCCATCTCGAAAACAAACTGCACCGTCTCACGTGGACACTCAGGACACTGACGTCACTCGGGCCCTCGGGCCCCTCACCTGCCTGCCCAGGTCACACGCGGCCATGCCCTCTGCGCACAGCGCCCGCTACACGCCACACTGCACATGCTCAACACACCACACATGCACACAACACAAACACACGTGCATGTATACCACACACGCTCAGCACACACCACACGTGCGCATGCTACACATATGTACACACACTACACACCGCATACGCTCAACGCACACCACACGTGCACACACCACACAGACACACATGTGCATATACACCACACAGGTTCAGCACACGTGTGTGCATACTACACAGACATATGTACACACACTACACACTGCACATACTCAACACACACACCACACGTGCACACACCACACAGACACACATGTGCATGTACACCACACAGGCTCAGCACACACTACATCTGTGTGCATACTACACAGACATATGTACACATACTACACACCGCACATGCTCAACACACACAGCACATGTGCACACACCACACACACATGTGCATGTACACTACACAGGCTCAGCACACATCAGACGTGTGTACATACTCGCAGACATATGTACACACACTACACACCGCATACACTCAACGCACACACCACACATGCACACACCACACAGATACACATGTGCATGTACGCCACAGGCTTAGCACACACCAGACATGTGTGCATACTACACAGACATGTACATGCACTACACACCGCATACAATCAACACACACACCACACGTGCACACACCACATAGACACACGTGCATGTACACCACACAGGCTCAGCACACACCACACAGACACATGTACACACACTACACACTGCACAGACACCACACAGACACACATGTGCACACACTACACCACACAACCACACATACACCGCATACACAGACACAACACACGTGTACGTCGCACACCACACACAGGGCAGTAACAGCCCTAGCGTGCACTCTCTGCCAAGGACGGCGGTGGGGGCCTCCTGTTTCAGCTGGGGACGTTCCTCGCGGTTCTCTCACGCTGCTGAGCGGGGTTTCGCGGTGGCGGCATCAGCCTCTGGGTCCTGGTGCCCTGCGTCTCCCCAGGGTCTCACACGAAGGGCTGGGCTCCCGTGCGCCCGCGCTCCCGGCAGGAGCGTTCAGGGCGCAGAGCCACGGGCTGCTGGCAGGTCGGACGTGGCAGGATGGGTGCTTCTCCCTGACTGGGCCGCCGGGCATTGTCTTCCAGGGTGACACTGGGCCACAGGGCTTCCCGGGGACTCCGGGGGACGTGGGCCCCAAGGGCGAGAAGGTGAGTCTGCTGGCTGGGCGGGGCCATCCTGACTCATCCCTGGCCCGGGTGGGGGCCGTGAGTCCCGGCATGACCTTGTCTTGTGTTCCCAGGGGGATCCTGGGGTTGGGACAAGAGGACCCCCGGGACCCCAGGGGCCGCCAGGACCGCCAGGACCTGCCTTCAGACACGACAGGCTGGTGAGTCCCGGGGTCCCCTGGCCCAGACTCGGGAAATGCCTCCTGGGGGGTCCGGCCCCGGAGGACCAGCCCCTGCCTTCGGGCTGTGGGCGGCAGGTGTGGGGGGAGCCTGGGCCGCAGGGGGCCTGCTGCTTTCTCTCTGCGTCCGGTCCCGCCCCCGCCGTAGTGGCAGCACGGGGGTGGGGTTTGGGACACAGGGGCAGGGCCGGCCTCCCCCAGGCTGGTGCTGGACAGGGCTGCTCTGGCACCTGGTGACGGTCTCTCTGGCCTCCGCTCAGACCTTCATTGACATGGAGGGATCCGGCTTTGGCGGCGACCTGGAGACCCTCCGGGTGAGCGGCCTTGGCCTGTGGGATGGGATGGGGGTGAGACAGGGCCGGCCGGGCTGGGCTCACCACTTGGGGGTGCTGCGTGTGCCTGACTGTGTGTGCCCCTGTCCAGGGCCCGCGAGGCTTCCCCGGGCCCCCCGGGCCCCCCGGCGTCCCAGGCCTGCCCGGTGAGCCAGGCCGCTTTGGGGTGAACAGCTCCGACGTCCCAGGACCCCCGGGTCTTCCTGGTGTGCCTGGGCGGGACGGGCCCCCCGGATTCCCGGGCCCCCCGGTAAGTCCTGCGACCCACCGCGGGGCTTCGCCAGCCCTCGCCACCTCACCCCGCGTCCCTGAGGGCAGGGGGCTTGTCACTGGGCCGTCCTCGGGAGTGTGGAGGTGCCTGAGTGGTCATCCCGTGGTTTTGGGGGTGCTGGCCCACTGGGCCACCGCAGGCAACACTGACACCCTCTCTGGCCCTTGTGGGGCCCCCGACCTCACAGAGGGCATCTCCGTGCGTGGTCCTCGTGGTGGGGGAGCCAAGGCCCTCACTGGCCGCGCTGGCGGAGGACCAGGGAGGCGGAACGTGTTTGGCCGACGCCTGCTCACGGGGCCTCAGAGCCCGGCCAGCCCCGCCTGCAGCTCTGGGACCTGGTGGCCCCCGTGGGCGCCCGCAGGGTCGCTGTGGCGACTGGGGACGTTGCAGCAGCCCTGGTGGCCTGGTGTTCACTCAGCAGCGCACCCTGGAGCGCCACTGTTCCCGGCGTGCACCACCCTGTCTTGGGGACGCTGTGGCTTAGCCCCCAGCCCGGCCGCGCTGCCCTGACGGCCTCCGACAGCCGCCGGGCGCCCCGTGGCCAGGCCGTCCCCGGGGTCGGTTCCTGGGGAGGTTTTAGGCTAAGGAATAGAACGTGGCTCATTCGCACCCCCCAGCATCACAGACGGGGCTGTCGCCCCCCCATCGTCTGGTTTGCTGGCGGTGCTGCCGCCCGAGCACCGCGGTGGGGTCCCCTGCGAGCCGCAGGACTCTGCCACGTGTCCGGGGAACATTCTGTGTCTGAGGAAGCCCAGATAACCGTCTGCTAACCCAGAATCTTCTTAGGAGCGGAATTTCATCCGGACCCTCTGCTTGTCTCTCCCCAGGGGCCCCCGGGTGCTCCAGGTCGAGAGGGGCCGCCAGGAAGGACCGGGCAGAAAGGCGGCCTCGTAAGTGCCTCCCCACCAGGCCAGGGCGGACGGGCCCCAGCGCCACGCTGAGTGGCCAGGGCGGACGGCCCACGTGCGGGGCCGCGGTGCGCTCCGTTGGGGGGGAGTGCGGGAGGTGGGCTGTGCACGGCCCCCACCTCCAGGCCGCCGGCTCCCTGGGCCGCTTGGACCTCCGCCGGCGGGGGCGTGGACGGAAATCCAGGACTCGTGATGAGGACTTGACTCCCGGTTTTTAAGAATATTGACGTTCCGTCTGATCTGGAAATCTTATTTTCCGTTTCCATTTGGGCTACGTCCACAGTGGGGCTCTCAGGAGGCCACACAGGCCTCTGATGAGATGTGAGTGGCCGTGACGTCCAGGTGGCATTTCTGGGGGTGGAGCTGGCGGGAGGCGCTGGCGTCCGGCTGCTGGGGCATGTGCTTCCACGTGACACCTCCGTGTGAACGTGGCCCACGGCCTCGCCACGTGGCTGAGCAGACGCTCGTTCTACATGAGGCTCCGAGCTCAGCTGGTCGCCTCGTTTGACAACAGCCGAGCAGAAGGACAGTCGGGAGGCACTGGCGCTCAGCACCCGGGTCGATGCCGTGGGTGTCCCCCCAGCGAGCACGGCGCCCCCAGAAGGGGGACGCAGCGGGAACACCTGCATGCGACTGAGTCAGCACAGAAACCGCAGAGCAGGGTCCGGGGCTCAGGGTGCAGCAGGCGAAAGGCCGTTGCTTTTCTGGAACTCTCGGTGCTGTGGTCTGACTTCGATCGTCCTGCTCTTTCCCACGCAGGGTGAAGCGGGCGCCCCAGGACCCAAGGTACAGATGAGACGCGGGCACGCTCTCCCACGCCGGTCTGCCTGCGGGTGGGCTCCCGGGGGGGCGGCCCCGCGGTGGGGCCGGCGAGTTCTCCTGGGTGCCGGCCGTGCCCCCGCTCTGCCCACCCGTGCTGTGCGCAGCAGGCCCCGTGTTCACCCCGAGGGGCTGCGGTGGGGTCCGGTGGCCGCCGCGGAGCAGACGCCCCAGTGTTCTCTCCGCACCCATGCAGGGAAGCACGGGAGACCCTGGTCCCGTTGGCGCTCCCGGGCAGAGCGGCTTGGCAGGAGCACCTGGGCCAGCTGGACCGCCAGGACCCCCCGGTCCCCCTGGGCCCCCAGGACCAGGATTTGCGGCTGGGTTTGTGAGTACTGCTGCCCTTGCCCCAGAAAACTTGGTTTTGCCACCTGTGGTCCCCCTGGAGTCACACCCGTAGAGCGGCACTTCCTGAGCAGGGGCCCTTTGTCCAATCCCTGAGTGGCCGCGTCAACCCAGCAGGCCAGGCCGGCACTGGTATGGTCTCCTAGGGCACTAAGCACGGTGTTGGTGCCTGGCTACGCCGCCGACCCCGGCCCTGCCCCGGCAGACGCTCAGACCAAGAGCAAATGCCCAAGAGAGGCAGAAAGGATCACCCCCCGGGCAGACGCTCTCCATCCGGGATGGTGGCTTCCCAGGCCACCCCAGCCCTTGGTCTCCGCCTCGGGCAGTGCCCGGCCTCAGGGGCAGCCCTTCCTTGGGGAGGGGACGCAGGCCAAGTGTGCCTCATGTGTCCCCCAGGACGACATGGAAGGCTCCGGGGCTCCCTTCTGGTCGACGGGCCGAGGCTCCGACGGACCACAGGTACTGCTCACGCGCCGGGCGGGGCCAGCTCTGGTGGGGGGTTGGGGGGTTGCCTGGGCAGGAGGGCGCCCGGGGACCTGCCTCTCACGAGGACCGGAGCACCCTGCAGACCTGCCAGGGCCGCGTGGTCCCTGGCATCGTCCACCCGGGCCACCCTCCTCGCTGGAAACCCCCCTGCTGAGTGGAAGGGTCACAGAATGGGGACGCGCCTCCGCCACGGGGCGCCACGGGGCGCCGCAGGGCGGGGCCAGATGGATGGACGCGGAGTCTTTCTAAAGGAAGGTCTTTCTGGGGGAGTCAGGTCATCGTATTCTTGTTGTGGCTCCGGTTTGGGGAAGTGGCAAATATTTGGTCCAGGTAGAATTCAAACTGAATAAAAACGGAGCGTTCTTACGAAACTCCCGCCCGGCTCTGCTGTTAACGTGTGCGCTGGCCGGGCTGGCGTCAGCGCGCAGGGACCGAAGCCCCAGCACAACCAGGGCTCAGACAGGACAGACGGGCCGGGGCACACCCGGGGGCCAGCGCAGAGCAGCAGGCGGGCGCCGCAGCCGTGGCCCAGGAGGACGCGTGGGGCCTAAAGCCGCAGCGTCCGACACCGGCTTCTCCCTCGGAGGCCCCGCCGCCGCCGGCGCAGGCCCTGGGGCTGGGACGCGTTTCCTACTCGGGGCAAAACTAATGAGAAATTTTAACTGGGCAAGACCTAATTCCATCGTAAGTTAGAATGGCTTTACCATTTTAACTTAGTACCTTTCCTTTATATATCTTAAAAACTCGTCATTTTTGCCACCGGGCTCATGTTCTCATGGGGCGAGTCTCACCCGGCAGGCTGGGGCTGTGCTGACGCCCGTCTCCTCTGCCCCGACAGGGACGGCCCGGCCTGCCAGGACTCAAGGTCAGTGAGCGGCGAGCCTGGGCTCCTGGCCCCAGCGGCCCCCCCCACCCCACCCCCGCCACCGATGCTCAGCCATGGCCCCCGTGCTCGGGGCGGAGCAGACGGGCCTCCCCCGGGCTGCTGCTCCGGGCCTCAGCTTTCCGATCACGGGAGTAGTATGAGTTCGCCAGGGAAGTGTGTGAAATGCAGCAGAAAAGGGCAGTAACCAGCAACCCTGCCCCGACAGCGAACGAGAGGCCCCCACCCACAGCCAGGACCCCGCTTCCACGCGGCGGAAGTGTATTTGCTGCCTGGGGCCGAGAGAGGGGCTTGGGGAAGAACCCGGAGCCCCTGCCCCAGCCTCCGGCCGAGGGAGGGCATTCTCTGCCCCCTCCCTGGGTCACCAGCCAGGCCTGGCACCGCCGGCCCCGCCCCACATCAGCCCCGTCCCACATCAGCCCCGTCCCGGAGGCCCGCAGCCCCTGGGCAGGTGGGCAGGTGTGGGGACCGCCCGGGAGGGCCGCAGCCCCTGGGGGTCCTTTCACTCCTCACCTGCCCTTTGGAGTGTTTTCTTTGATTTGCAAAACACTGGAGTTTTAGAAGGGCAAACGTACTAGCTTTCCTAAATTGTTTAAAGTGAAATCTTCTCAGCGGAGTTGCTCTTATAGTGAGGATGACGGACTGTCACCAGCTTCCAGAACAGTCCAGACCAGTGTCTGTTGGGGTGATGCTCACAGCCCTTCCGCTAGTGGGGGCCATGGGGTCCCGGGACCCTCAGCTCGGGGCTGGGGGCGTGTGAGCTGCGTCCTGGGTGATGAACCTTCTCCTCCTCCCGTGGGCCGCGGTGGACGCCGCCGGGGGCTGGGCTCACAGACCCTTTGTCCACCCAGGGGGATCCCGGCACGCCTGGGCCACCCGGGGCCAAGGTAAGCACCTGTGTGGGGCTCCCGGAGAGAACCAGGGGGCAGGGGCCTGGGGAGGCCAGGTGTCCTGTCCCCTCTGAGCCTCGGTAAACGGGGGTGACAGTACGTGGGGGTCCAGCCAGGCCGGGTGGGGAGGGCCGCCCGGCTCCTCCCGCTGCCCAGAGGCCGGGCTCCGGCTTCCCTCCTTCCTCGCGCTGCCCGTTTGCTTGTGACGTAGGGCGCGCTCGTCTCAAAGACGAGCCGCACCAGGCACAGCCCCCCAGGGCATTCCCATCCCCCCTTCCAGGGCATTTCCCCCGAGGCACCACCTGCTCTAAGACACCCCCTCAGGCCACCCTGCCATCCAGGGCACCCCTCCAGGGTATTTCCCCCCCAGTCCCCCCCAGGTTTCACCGGGTCAAGATGAAAGTCAGGGCACCCTCCCGGCTCTGCCCCGGGAATCGGCAGGCCACACGGGACAGCTCCAACGGCCAGGCTCCCGCTGGACCCCCCTCCCCTCCCCCACCCCCGCACCCCCAGGTGCCCCCCTTCAGGGGTGGAGCGAGTGACCGCCACCGTCACTGCATGGACGCGGTGGCGTCCTGGCCCGGGCAGCTGACCGTCCACCCTCTGTCCCTTCCAGGGAGAAGTCGGAGCGGATGGGGCCCCTGGGTTCCCCGGCCTCCCCGGCAGAGAGGGCGCCGTGGGGCCCCAGGTGAGTGGCCTCGGTGGGCCGGGAAGGGCAGCCGGAGCTCAGCGCTGGCCCTCGGCGCGTCCCTCAGGGGTCCCCGGGCTTCCCTCCTCCAGCCCCTGGTCAGGAAATGCAGAGCCCCCCATGTCTGTGTCCAGGCCAGTCCCTGGGGGTGTGGGGTCTCCTGGAAGGGGGTTCCTGCTTGTTTATGTGACATTTCCTCTGTCTCTGCAGGGACCGAAAGGGGACAGAGGCAGCCGGGGAGAAAAAGTGAGTGTCCCTGGCAGGGTGGGGGGCAGCACGGGGCCTGCAGGTGCACACAGGTGGCCGTGGGGCTGGGATGCATGCGGTCCCCGGGCCACGCCCACCCTGTCACCTACGTGGCCCCAGAGACGCTGGGCAGAGACCCTCACGTCGGCGGGGGCGGCCTTCGGGGCCGGGAGCAGCGTGTGGGGTGTGGCCGTCTGGATGGCAGCGTCCCTGCTGGGGAGGGGGCTCTCACGCTGTCCACGGCCCCGGGGTGGGCTCTGGGGTCCCGGCCAGAGCGCAGTGACGACGCGGTGTGCGCGCGCCGTTCTCTTCCAGGGCGACCCAGGCAAGGACGGAGTGGGGCAGCCGGGCCTCCCCGGGCCCCCCGGACCGCCCGGGCCCGTGGTCTACGTGTCGGAGCAGGACGTAAGGACGCTGGGTGGGCACCCGGTCTGCCCAGACCCCCTAGCGGGAGAGGACCCCCAGTGCGGGACAGGGCCTGGCCCTCGTCTGAGACGCCGCAGAGAGCCCGAGCTCCGTGTTGCGATCGAGGCCCGCGAGAGGGGGGAGCGCGGCGGCCTGGCGGGAGACGCGCCTGCCCGTGGCCAGTCCCTCGGCCCCGCACGACGTGGCCCAGACCGCAAGTGGTTGGTCCAAGTGCCTCGTCAGGAGAAGCAGGAGAGGTTCTTTGGTGAAGGGCTGTGTCGGGTCCGGAACCTTCCTCCCCACGGGAGGGCTGCGGGCTGCCTGTGGGGTGCCTGCCGCCGCTGCCCCAGACGCACCCCCTCGGCCCCACCACACAGAACACAGAGCCGGGACTGCGCCCAGGCGCCTCTGTGGAGCAGATCGCCTCTGGGTCCCGCTGCCCGCAGCCCCCGCTGGAAGGGGCTGCCCGGTGCAGAGGCAGGAACAGGTGCCGGGTGACAGCCGGCTCAAATCCCAGCACAGCACTGTCAGCTGTGTGGCCCTGACAAGTTACTTAACCTCTCTGTGCTGATTTAAGAGCCGGGGAGGGGCGCAGTCATCCGATGAGGTGCAGGGCTGGGTGAGCAGCAGCCGGAGGGGCTCCCGGGAGCCAGCAGGACTAGGAAGAGCGGCCCGCATGGAAGCTGCGGGGGGCGGGGGCCTGGGCAGGCCAAAGGCCATGCTGGGTCACCGCCGGCCTCCTCTGGCCACGGCGGAACAGCCTCGGGCAGGCGGCCCGTCCGCGTGGTGAGCAAGGACGTGCCCGCAGAGTCAGTATTTCACACAAAAACGGGCGTAAAGCTCGTGGCCCTGGGGAGCCGGAAGTCTGGCTAGGGGAGCTCTGAGCCCAGGGGAGTCTGCTTGGGCGCAGCGGTCCCCAGGACGTGGCTTCGGGGTTACCTGAGGGGCCTTCAGGCAGAACCAGAAAGACGGTTGCAAGAAAGATCTGCCTTTTAAATCTCGGTTCCTGGTATTGTCCTATTGATCTCGTGACAGTAACATAACGCGGCTGAGTCTAGCTTTCAGGGACGTCTCTGCCGTGTTCTGATCTCTCTTTCTGCCGACAGGGAGCCGTGCTGAGTGCGCCAGGGCCCGAGGTGCGTGCCCCTCGCGGCTGAGAAACTCGCCTGCGGGGCCCTGGGCGGGTCTGGGTGTGGGTCGGGCGGCGGCTTGCTCAGAACCCTGCTGTTTCTGAGTGGCCGTGACCCCAAGCTGACGCCGCCCCTCTTCCCACAGGGCAGGCCGGGGTACGCAGGCTTTCCCGTAAGTAGCCCCCTCCAGGCCGTCACCCCGTCCTGTTTGTCCCACAGGCTGCCCTGCCGAGCTGGGGCAGGCCTGGCTCAGCCGGGGTGGGGACCGCCGCTGTCCTGGACCACGTGAGCAGGGTACTGAGAGCCCTGGCCAGCCAGCGCCCGGCGGGCCCCCGGGGGCCCGAGAGCCTTCCTGTGCCCGGGAGAAGCCGCGGTGCTCAGAGCGGGTTCTGGGCGGGGTGTGGCCCCCTGCATGTGACCCGGAAGACCGAGCGGGGCAGCGCATCTCCCGGAAACAGCGCGGAGGGGGTTGGGCGGTCCTCTGGAACGGGGAGGCGCTGGGCCGCGCAGCCCCTCACCCCTGCCTGCTCTGTTCCAGGGACCCGCCGGGCCCAAGGGTGACCTGGGCTCCAAGGGTGAGCGAGGCTTCCCGGGACCCAAGGTGAGGCTGGCACTGTTGCTCGGTCTGGGCACTGGGCCGGGATCGGAGCCCCCGGGCCGACTGGAGTTGTCGCCTTAGTGGGCGAGTGACAGACTCCAGCCCAGGTTGTCCCCGAGGGGCACCCACACCGCCCTGCCTTCGCGTGTTCTGGGGGCTCCCGTGAGGCAGCCGTGCTGCCGCGAGGCTGGTCTTCGCCCAGAGCCGCCCTGACCCTGCCGGCTTCCTGCCGTTCCAGGGTGACAAGGGAGAGCCCGGCAGCATCTTCAGCCCCGACGGCAGAGCCGCGGCCCCTGCCCCGAAAGGAGCGAAGGTGAGGGCCGGCGCGGGGCCGGGGTCTCACGCGTCCCCTGAGCCGGGCGCCGGGACATCGTGGCCCGGCCCTCGACGGCCTTCCTTTGTCCACCCTCATAGCCCCCAGCGCCGCTCTCCTGCAGGGAGGCTGGGGCCGCTGGGGGCCACAGCTCTGTCCTCGCTCCTCCAGCCTGGCCTCCCTGCGGGAGACGGGGAGCCCCAGGCCGCACCCAGCTCGGCGTCTGCGTCCATGGGGGGGGCTTCCCTGCCCTCTGCCTCCTCCTGGGGACAGCCGGCCTCGGCGCCTGAGCACCGGCCTCGGCGCCTGAGCACCGCGGGGTCAGAGGCAGTTCCCTGGGGGGCCTGTGCCTGGGGGGCCACCCAGGCAGGCCCTGGGAAGCGGAGGGGGAGGGGCTCCCTGATCTGCTGGGCGTACAGGCCGGGCTCCCACAGGCCTGCAGGAGGAGCCCGAGCCCTCCAGGCCTGGGGACGGGCCTCGGATGCCAGGCCCAGAGAGCGGGCCACCGGCCCTGCCCCGGCCGCACAGCTGAGTGTGGGCTGAGGTGTGCCCAGCCAGGGCACTGCGCAGACAGGGCAGGGCCACCTTCCCCGTGCAGCAGGGCCCCAGGACACGCCCCATCTGCGCACCCACCCAGATGCAACCCCCAGCCCAGAACCTTCTCCCACTGGCATTTCCTATCCTCCCCCTTGTCGCCCGTGGCCCTTCGTGCTCCCCGGTGCACCTGATGGGCAGGGGACCCTCGGGGGGCTATGGGAGTTGCAGGGGCCGGGACGGAAGAGACGAGCCTCCTCACGGTGCCTTCTGGTTTTCTGTCCAGGGAGAGCCGGGCTTCCGAGGACCCCCGGTGAGTAGGACCCGGCTCCCTCTGCAGGGAGCACGGGCGTGCCGTGTGCTGGACACTTGTCACCCGCGTGGCTGCTGAGTGTGTGCTGTGTGGCCCTGGGTTTATCTCCCAACCGTATCCTTAAAACACACGGGCCAGGGGTGGGGTGGAGGCCACAGGGGCAGCTCTGAGCCGACAGGAGGCGGGGCTGGTCTCTGCGTTGCCGCCTCCCCCGCACCAGCTCCTGCCCCGTGGTGCGGGGGCAGGGTCTGCTCTGGGTCCCGCCCACCTGAAGCCCAGACCCTTCCTTCTGCAGGGCCCCTACGGACGGCCGGGGCACAAGGGGGAGATTGGCTTTCCTGGACGGCCGGTGAGGACCTGGGCTCTGGGGGGCCCCTGTGCCTGCGTGGGCAGCAGGTGGGGCCCGGCAGGTGGACAGCAGCCCAGGCCCACAGGGCAGTGGGCCCAGAGGGCAGTGGACAGCTGTCCCTCCCCTGTCCTTCCCCAGAACTGCCCTGCTCTCATCCCAGAGGTGGCTGGGGGGGGGTCCTGGGACTCGCCTGTGGGGGGCTCGGGCCTGGGAGGAGGCCCTGGGTGCCGCTGGGGTCAGCCACCCTCCCCAGAGGGCCTGGAGCAGGCACATGGCGAGGGGGGCCGGGCAAGCTGGGAGCTGCAGGGCAGGGGTGCGGGAGGCCAGCCCTGGTTGGGGGTGACCACGAGGCTGCAGCGGCCGCCCTGCGGGGACACAGAGAAGGCCGTGGTGTGGCCGTACCCAGCAGTTCCCGCCCACTGTGCTCTGCCCAGGGTCGTCCCGGGATGAACGGACTGAAAGGAGAGAAAGGGGAGCCGGGAGAGGCCAGCGTGGCATTCGGCACGAGGGTGAGCGTCCCACGGGGGGCTGGACGCTGGGACCGGACGGCCTGGCCGGGGCCTGGGGTCCTGCAGCTTGTCTGTCAGGCAGTGGCAGCCAGTGTGGCCGCGCCATGCAGGTCTTCTGGCACGACACGCACACTCACATGTGCACACGTGTACATGGGCACATTCATAATATACACCTACACGCATGTGCACTCGTACATATACACACATGCACGTGTCCACCCATATACTTACATACACGGGTACCCACCTACACGCTTACATGTGCACACATGTCCACACACATATACTTGCATAACACGTTTATGCACACCGATACATACACACATGCGTACACATGGACCCTCATATATCGTGCACACATGTATGTATACCCATGCATATGCACACACACATACACAGGCACATCATCCACACATATACACGGATATACACACTTATGCACACACACAGAGGCACACGTACACGTGCACCTTACCCAAGCCCATTGGGAACAGACAGTGCGTGTTTCTGGGGAGGGCGCCCAGGCCAGCGTGGACTCTGCGTGTGCCCCTCCCCGCCGCGGCGCGCTCGGCTCAGCACCACGCCGTCACTCGGTTAACGCTGCTGTCCGTGAGCCGGGTGTCTCACTTGGTGCGTCGGTGGCTGGGGCTTTCTAGTCGCTGTCTGCCTGACACGGCTGCCGCCAAGACCCAGCGGTGCCCCCGGGCAGGGGCCGCCAGATCCGCCCAGCTCGCCCCAGGCAGTGCGCCCGCTTCCCCGGCAACCCCCGGCGGCCCTGCCGTCAGGCTCTGCCCCAGCGGGGGCTGTGCGCAGGGAACGCAGTGGGGTTGGCACGTCTGACCTTTCCGTTGCTGTCGTCTCTTCGGCTGCGTTCCTGTCTCTGGACTGAAGCGCGGCTGCCGTCCTGTGAACGGTGAAGAACACGCTGTGTTTGCAGGTTCTGGGACGGGGCTATGCTCACAGGTCACGCGGCCGGAAAGCACAGGCGCTCGGATTCTGTTCTCACTTGTGACTCTTTAGAAGTGGTTACACGGCTGTTTCCCTGGCGACGAGGGCGTCTCCCGCCTCGGGGCAGCAGCGTCCCCTGCAGCCGGGTCTTCCCCTGGGGCCTCCTGTTGGCCCAGATCCCCCCACCCCCCACCCCGCTGCGGCCAGCCGGCGAGAGGTGCCCAGGCCCCTGGAAAGACACTCGCATGGCGGGAAGAGAAGCGCGCTCACGCCCAGCCCTGACCTTCCAACCCGCCGTCCTCTCGAGAGTCGCCGTCCTCCCGAGAGTCGCGTGTGGCTCTCAGAGCACGCGCTCTGACACGGCCTGAACCGGATTGTTCATGCTCTTTCCTTGGACCCCCACAAGTTACAGCCCCTCAGGGTGGCTCCAGGGGAGGCTTTCTGACCTGGGAATCTCGCTGACCGCACCGCAGTCTGCAGGGCGTGGCCCTCGGGCAGGGACCTCCTGGACGTGGGAAGGGCCAGTCCCTGCCCTGGGGACCCGATGGCAGAGTAATCTGGTGCCCGCGTGCGCGTCTGCCCTGGTGTGAGTCTCTGCTCAGGCGGCCTCTCCCTGCCGCGGTCACAGGACAGAAATGCTCCTGCCCACGCCTGCCGCCGCGTCATGGTGGAGGGGCTGGCTGTGAACCTGACTGACCACAGCTTTCTGTCCCACACAGGGAATGCCCGGCCCCCCCGGGCCTCCGGGACCCCCAGGCCCTCCTGGGACCCCTGTCTACGACAGCAACGTAAGTCCCGAAGGCGCCCACGGTTCCTGTGGCCCCCACGGCTCCTTACCTGAGCCACGGACAAGCTGTGCCTCCTCCCCACGGCACAGCCTGCATCCAGGCTGCTTTTGGGCTGTCTGGTGGGCTGAGCCCCCCAAGGAGGGCGGAGGCCTAGGGGGTATCTGAGCATGGAGGTGCTACGGCATCCCGGGACCACCAGGCTTGGCGAGGTGGAGGCCAGTGAGGGCTTCTGGCTCTAGACCCCTGTCCCCCGAAACTCCACCAGTGTGGCCTCGCAGGGGGCCGGGGGCTTCTGGACTGGGGCCTGCTGGATGGGTGGTGGCCTTTGTCTCCAGAGCAGTGTCCCTCAGCGGCCACCTCTGGGCCCCTCTCTGCAGGCGTTTGTGGAGTCCGGCCGCCCTGGGCCTCCAGGACTGCCAGGTGAGCGCCCGGCTCGCGGCTGGAGAGGAAATAGCTCCAGGCCCCCCGGCTCCTGTCTGACGCCTGGCGCCTGGCACCGAGCAGCAGCGAGAATCCCCCACCCCGCCCGGAATGGCCTTCCGGGCAGCCTGGCTACCGACGGCAGCGACACCTGGGTGGCACCTGTCTTCTGTCCTCCCTTTAGAGGCGGCCGGGCAGGAGTGGCCCAGCTCCCCGGCACCACCTGCAGGGCCTGTGCTCTCCTCGAGCCTGTGCTCCGTGTCCCCCAGTCCACCCGATGTCCATCCCGGGCACAGGGGCGCAAGTGGGCGGGACAGGACCGAAGGCCTTGCAGGCACATTTGGTGACAGGTGC